TTTGAATGTGTTATCAGGAGGGACAAGTCCCAGGAGAAGGACATCATGCTTGGTGTGGTGTGATAAATTACTTACTATGGCCTTTCTCACCATGGTCTTCTAACTCCCACCCAGGTGATTGGGTGGGGCTGTGCAAATAAGATAATTGTGGCCCACCAAGAGGATTGGTCAGTTTTGCCTTAAAGAGAGCCAGTTCCAGAGCAGAGAGAAGAGCCCACCACCACCAAGCCAGGAGAGACCAGCAGAAGAGACCTGTAGGAGAGACCCACAGGAGATGGTGCAGTGGGCTTCCCAGCCCACAGAGCAAGAAAGCTGAGGGCCTTTGGGCAGAGATTGAGGGCCAGAGAGAAGCCTATGCCTGACTCATGAATTTGGGACTTGCCAACCTCCACAACCGCATGAGCCATTTCCTTTATACAATTTGTGAGTTCTGTGAAACATTGCAGCGAATTAGGAACCCAACGACAGGAGGAAGAGCGTGAGGGGGGAGGGAGTAGTTGATGTTAGAGATGATGGAGCAGTACAGCAGCTTGGAAAAGTTGGACATTTGGGACATCTTTAACCTCTGCCTCATAGGAACCAGCTTCATGCTGATTCTTATAAAAAGAAATTATTCATTTACTTGGTAAAGTACACGGTCGGCGAAAAAGAGAAAGACCCTCAACAAGATGGATTGATATAGTGGCTGCAACAATGGGCTCAAGCATAACAACGATTGTGAAGATGGTGCAGGACCGGGTAGTGTTTCATTCTGCTGTACATAGGGTCGCTATGAGTTGGAACTGTCTCCACAGCACCCAACAAAAGCAACAGCAACGTAGTATGTGAACTCTGACATTACATTGCACTTTGTCAATATTGTCTGTAATGGCCACATTTAAATACAAGAAAGCTTTGTTCTTCAGCATGCTAAGCAAAAGCATGTGAGTTTTCATTTTCAAAGTGACCAGTAACTGAAAATTGTACCGTTTGGGAAGGAGGCTGAGAAAAAATGACCAGGATATTTTTGACAGGTTTTCTACTAACTAGGCTGGTGACATGCTTCCTAAATCCCTAGGGCTCCATTTTATCTTCAGACTAAAAGAATTAAGTCTTTCTCTGCTTTAAAATTATTTGTATAGCAGCAAAAACCCAACTTGCTATTTAAAATATCATCTGATCTCTATGGAGAGTAAATTCTGTTAAAGAAAATCTCAGAGTCAATTGGCTGAGCATCTTAAGGATTTTCGATATTCACATGTGGCCCTTGAGCTGAGTTTGGAAGCAGAGGCTAAGGAGAACAGAATTGCTTTGTTAGTAGAGTAAGAATCATTTGGAAGTGGGCAGTGGGGAGAAGAAACATAGAAGGAAGGAGAGGAGAGAGAAGCCAGCCAGTTCACAAGAGGTTGAGATGCTATAAGAGGTGGCTCGTTCAGTAAAAATCCCTGGTGGCCTAAGGGACTGGTATACAATAACTAACACCTGAATTTAGATTATTTGCACTTTTATTATGTAAATCCCCTTTTCTCTATAAATCTTCAGTAAACTCAGCTGCCAACACATATATATTAGATAAGTGATGGTGGGAGAGATCAGCATTCAAGAAAAGGGATGGAGTCTCACATCTGGGCCAATGTAAAGCACAACCAGGAGGTCTCCATAGCAAGTTGAGTTACTCCAACAACTGGCAGCACCTCCAATACGGAGGAGCCCCAGAGAAGACCTTGAAAATTCACATAAATACCAGTGGGAGCCCTGAATTTCCTACACATTGCAAAAAGAAGTTTGAAATGATCTGAAGTAGATCTTAAAGGGCAGGATGATCTAAAGCTACATAGATCTATGACTACCATACTATATGTAGATGATCATAGGGATATCAGAAATAATTTACTGAAGTCATAGGATTTAAGAAACTAGTTTTAGAACTGTAAATTCAAAATTTCTATTGAATTATTTAGGTTGGGAACGAAACAGAATAGATGGACTCAGAGATAATATGATGGAAGGAGAGAACCAAAGCCAGTCAGGCAGTTGGCTTTAAACCAGTGATCTGTTATTTCCAAAGAAGTTCTAAAGCTGCCCACTTCTTTCTTCCTTTGTGCTCTTGATTGGAGTCAGGGATGGGTAGGAGGGTGATTCAGCTTTAGGCCTACCCCTTAAAGTCAGTAACTTGGAATTAACTTTTGGCTGTGTTGTAAGAAAATGTGAAAGGCAGAGGGCAAGGATGACCAGATGGGAGCCATGGCTAAGAGGGAGAGGTGGGAATGACTGATTAAGCCAAGGTAGGGTACAGGAGTCTATGAATTCTAGGAGCCTATGGTTTCTAGAGGCCAGAATGGAAAAAAGAGTTGGAAAAGAATGAGTAACAAGAAACCCAGTGTCTTACCTACCTAGTGCTGCTGTAACACAAATACCACACGTGGGTGGCTTTAAAGAACCTAAGTTTATTTTCTCTCAGTTCTGGAGGCCAAAAGTTCACATCAGGGTCTTGGCAGTGTTGATTCCTTCCTTGTCAGTAGTCCTGGGCGTTCCTTGGTTTTTTGGCTTATAGACAATCCTCATATGGCATCTGTCTTCCCCAGTATGTGCTCACCTCTGTGTCTAATCTGCTCTTTTTATAATGCAAAAGTGATTAGGTTCAAGACCCACCCTATTCTGGTATGACCTCAACTGTCAGATTGATTACATGACAGTAGATTGTATTATGGAAGGTAATCTGCTCTACCCAAGGTCAACTGATTTAATCTTGTGATTAAGTCATAACAGCACATGGCCAGGGTTTCAATACACATTTTAGGGGCACACAACTCAACCCATAATGCCTAGAGAGCATAAAAAGAGCTAGCCAAAGTCAAAACCAGAATATCAGCCAAAGTTAAAAAACTAGGCCATGGAAGCCAGGCTTCCAGATATGATAGCCTGAAGAAATCAAAAAAAAACCTTTCCACAAAGCTTAAGCATAAAACTGGACAAAATTGTCAACAAACAGCCATTGTAGGGCTCTAGAAATTGGCCAAAGGTAGAAAACAAATTGAAAAGTATTTATTCTTGAAAAAATTCTGTGGCCTTCTTGCCTCAGGCAGTTCCCATTGCTCCCAGGTCAGCCAGTGAGAGCTTAGTTTTATCAGGAAGGGGCTAGTGGAAAATTAGCAGCTTTGCTGCCACAGAGGGTGGACTCATTTTGGAGGGATTATGAAAACCTGCAGCTTTCTCAGCTAAAAGTAGCAAACTTGGTAGGAAATAAACGGGGAAAACCCACAGTTCTGCTAGCCTGAAGTTATGGTTCCCATTGGGGTAAGTGATAGACCAGCCAGAAATTTAAAAGGGAAATCCTGAACTGAATGAGCCGTAGAAGAGCTATATAAGCTCTCCATACATCCTTGGCTGCCTGGAAAACTAAGTACATGTACAAGGGAGACCTGAGAAAGCCCACAGTGAAGTAAAAGCCAAGGCAGACTGAGAACCAGCTGCAAATTTCAGCATGCTCCTCAACCCCCAAACACAGATCAACTGGTAGCAGGTAGAAGGCCTGCAGACTCAAGGTGTTTAAGCACAACCTCTGCCTTAATTATTGGCTGGCCATGCAGTTATGCAGACACAGGGGCAGCCACTAGGAAGCCAGGTTAAAAAGTGAACGTAAGAATTAAGAAACTGAGCAGAGACATCAGTGGCCACATACTGCAGCGGAAAAAGATTCTGTATTTTAAGTCCAGGCAGCTTACTTTTATGAAAGCCTCAGAAAAATAAATCAGAATTAAGAGTTGCTACAATATATTATTTAAGATGTCCAGTTTTCAACAAAAATTATAAATTATGCAAAGAAAAAAGAAGTGTAAAAAAAGTAGTCAATGAATACTGTCTCTGAGTAGGCACAGATTTTGGATTTAGCAAAGACTTCAAAGCAGCCATTATAAATTCATTCAAAAAAGGAAAACAAAATATGTTCAAAGAATTAAAGGAATATATGATGACAATGACTCAACAAAAAAAGAATTACAACAGAGAAATAGAAACTATTAAAAATGGAAATTCTGGAGTTGAGAAGTACAATAATCAAAATGAAAAATTTGCTAGATGGGCACAACAGCAAATTTGAGACGGCAAAAGAAAGAATCAGTGAATTTGAAGATAGATCAATGGAAATTATCCAATCTAGAGAACAGAAAGTAGAAACATTGGAGAAGTGGGTCATGGCAAAACAAACTTTAGTCCCAGGAGTCAAAAGCACCATTCAGGTAGAAGAGAGGGCAATCTAAATCTGGGCTGAAGAATTTCTCAATTTTAAGCTTTTTATTCATTTTAAAAGACAGCTAATAACAGTACCTATACATCACAGAATTGACATGAGGATAAAATGAATTAAAACATGTAAAGCACTTAGAATAGCATCTGGCACATTGTAAAGACATAATAATTGTTAGCTGCTATGATCATTATCATCATCATCATATTAATATACTCTTTGCTAGGGGAGGAAATCATGGCTACCCTGACCCAACATCACGTAAGGAAAGCTCCTACAGGTAGCTGGGAAGAAGGTGAATACATGATAACCGCTGCTGGATGAAAACTATATAGCTATCAGTTCTTTGACACTGATTACTTCAACAAATATATTTGAGTCATTTCATAATTTTATAATATTTCTGATCATACTTTATTTTAAAAATACTTATTCTTTTTTAAGATTTTCAGAAGTTTCTACCTGAGTGTGAAATTCTAGAGAAATTTTTTTTCTACATAACTAGATCTAGAAATAATTTTAACATTTGCACCCTAATAAGCTCTCTCTCAAATACACTGATGTTAAGAGTGTGGAACCCATAATTAGACTGAAGATTTGAATCACATAATACCAGAAATAAGAGTTGCTAAAACATAACACAGACTTTGCCAAACCAAGATAACTGGCAAGCCAGCTACTCTGACTTGAAGGGAATTACAAAGTTTGATCCAAAGAGACTCCACTCCCCACCAACATATTTACCTATTTCACCTTTTTTTTCTTTTTTACTCACTCTGTTTTTGGAACTGCTTTTCTTAGCCAGAAGAAATCAGACTGTGCTAAATACTTGCGGGTTTGCAGGACGTTGCCAAAGTAGTCAGATTCTGAAAACTTGATCTGAATGAAACAAACCACAAGCATCATTGTTCTAAGTGAAGATAAGAGATGGCTCTGAAAAATGAGAGGCCAGCCTAGAAGCTTTGCTCCTCACAGCATCTCAGCCGTTACCATTTAACCTAGTATTCACAAAGCCATGAAATTTAATCTCAGTGATTTTCTTTTCTCAAATAAAAAGCTCAAAAATCAATGTGGTCATTTCTGAATCACAGCGGAAAATGAAAAGCTGCAGTAATTTACAATGCGTTTCATTTACTTTATAATTGAAAAATCTACTTTAACCTTTACAGAACATATTATCTTGGGCTTGAAATTTCTTGGCTCACATGAGTCTGATCTTTTCTAAAATGTGTACTTTATTTATTTGTCACATAGCTTCTTCTAATAACAGGCAGTTTAGTCAGCAGACACCTCCTTTAGCTTACAGATGATGATTTAGTCAAATGTTAAAATCCAATTTACTGTAATCAGCATTTGTTCATAAAGGAAAAAAGAAAGAAAGAGATCCAGAGACCTATTTTCCACCCTAAGCACAAGGAGTCACCAGAATAATTTAATTATTAACAGAAAGCATCTATTAACACTCAAAAAAGGCTCTGGTCCCTAAAAATCAGTGAAGTTACAGAGGCAAATCATAAATGATGTCTTGCATGAGACTATGGGAAGTTGACAACTCACAACAATGTTTATTAAAACAAGGAAACAGACAATTGATTATAGAGTTCCTTTTCTTTTTTTTTTTTTTTTTGAAGGAGAATGGCAGTTTCAATTCTGTAGGCACTGCATCTACAAGATTAGCAATATTTAACCTAGATATTATAAATAATATCCGTGTCATAGTAAAAGCAATGGTTTGTAATGATCTCTAATGTTTTAATTTCAAAATATATTACTGTGGCAGATAAAATAAGAAAAACACATAAGAAAATTCTGATTAGCTGTAACTTTTTGTAACTTTAAACCCTGATGCTCCTTTAAAAGTAAAAATTAAAGTACAGCCAATGTATGTATATGAAACACACAGGCAGCACATTATAGATATGAACAAATATCTACTACCTGATGGTTCTAGACTTGACAGTCACCAACATCCGTCTCATGTTTACCTCCTCCCTAACATGTTTACCTCCTCCCTAACAGTGGGTGCTCATTATGTCTGTGCAGTGACTTTTATGATTCATCGTAACAAACTTTCCAGTGGGCCAGGTCAAAATCTAGAGAAAGGAGTAAAGTAACTGCAGGGGTGCAGAGAAAGGCAGGAATGAAAGGATCAGTTCCTGGCATCTTTGATATTCTGCTTGCCCAACAAGTTATAAAGATATGACTTTAAATTGTCCTTCCCGCAAACCCCTGGTGGGCGGAGGGGAGGCTGATAAATCAATCATGGCATATTCAAAGAATGAAAAATGATACAGCACTTTCAATGAATGGTCTGTATGCATGAACATGAAATAATCTCAAAAAGCAATGCTGAGTGAATAAGGCAAGGTGTACATATGAGGGAATTTTAAAGTTTTAACACATGTAAAATAGTACTAGATACTCTATTATGAATACATACCTATGTAGCAGAAGCGTAAAGAAATACATGGAAATGATAAACTATGAATTCAGGATAGTGTTTATATCTAGAGAAGGAAGTAGGCTGGGAGGAAGAGGATTAGATCAAGGAGGATTACACAAGGAATTTCAAATACATCTGTTTTATTCATTTAAAATGTGTACGTGCATGTATAAAGCTATTACGGTAATAGGTTTAATATTTGTTAAAGCAGCAGGTGTTCAAAATATTGTATTACTTCTCCATATATTTGAGAAGTTTCATAATAAAAAGAAATCTTACAATCGATTATATTTTACCATAGCAGTTTTCCCTTAGCTTCAGAAGAAACAGAGTAAGCACCTTGTTTTAGGAAGCAACGTGAACTAGCAATCCTAATGCATTCTGGGATCGTGTCTTTAAAAGATGTGTCTATCGTTCAACGTGAAAAACCTTTTTCAGCTTTTGTTCCCAAGATAGCTCTGCCAGAACTTTTGTAATTTGATTGTAACTGATAGAAAATTCAGATATGTTCTTGGGTTCAAAGCACTTTCTAAGAAATTTTCCCAAAGGCATTTCCTTTAAAAAAATTAACTTTTTTGGGGGGGTGGGGAGGGGGACAGGGGTAGTAATATCAGTGGAGTCATTGTTACTTCCAGAACAGTTTGCTAACCGTGATACTTCCCTGTTCCATATGAAAAACTTGACATTCAGGTTGGTCTAGGGGCATTAAACCGAAAACCATCCAAAAATTTTATAAAGAAGAAGAGTCGCAAATCTAAAAATACTTCGGATAAATAAGGTTCTACCACAACCATGAAAATGATTATGGGGAGAAAAACTTAGAGGCAATAAATTACAATTTGCCAACAGCTTATCTATATTTAGAAGGGCAATTTTAAAATTGTTTGAATTATTAAATTGAGAGTATTTGCTATTTCATAGCCTGGTTTAATTAATCTATTCCATTTATTTAATGGGAATAAAACAGGTAATTGCAGTTGTTGTTGGGGGCTGTAGAGTCGATTCTGACTCATAGCAAGTCCTTATAACAGAGTAGAACTGCCCCATAGGGTTTCCTAGGCTGTAATCTTTATGGGACCAGATAACCAGGTCTTTCTCCTGAAGAGCCACCAGGTGGGTTCAAACTGCCAACCTTTCGGTTACCAGTCAAGAACTTAGCCATTGCACTACCAGGGCTCCTTAACACAGGTAATAGGGGATACATTTCACTTTTTTCTCTGAGACAAGTTAAGTGTTTGGGGGTTGGGAAGGACCAGCAGCTGTTATTCCCATTGATGACAGATGGGAAACAAGGGCTAAAGGGATTATGGGATTTGGCAAAGCCATGCAGTCCAAATTCTTTGGCTCCTACTTCAATGTTATTTTCACTGGTTTTAGTAAGAAAACTGGTGATTCAATAGAAAGAAGATAAGGAAGATGGAGAAGAAGGTAAGAGTTGGGGGTGGGAGGAGAAGCAGCGATTAAATGAATCATGGTACTTAATGAAATATTATACAGCTGTTAAAAATAATGGTGATGAAGACTATGGCAGACAATGATAAAACACTGCGTTAAATGTAAAGATCAGTATACAAAATTATAGAAAAGCATCAATTACAGGTATGCAAAATTACTTATAGAGAGAAAGGCAAAGTAACACACTATAACGAAAGTGCACATGATCACGTTCTGGTACCAATATTATGGGTGCTTTTTCATTTCTTTTATCTGGCTCCTAAGTTTTCTGCCATGTGACAATATTTTGATAATTTCCAAATATTTCAATAGGCCCTTGAGTGGGAAATAACTATGAAACCCAGCAACGATTTGGAAAGTTCTGCTTGTTGTGGAGGTAGCAGCAAGAACAAATGCGGCATGAATAGTGTGAAACTATTTGCAATCTTCAAAACAAAATAGTTTAAACTATGCAAAGGACCATAATTGGCTCAAAAGCCTCTTGTCCTTTCAGTTACTGGTGAAAATCCAGGTCAAGTTGATAATGGCTTTCAATCAATTCCATCTCTAGACTTTTCAATTGAGTGACCTTTGGGGAACTAATCGGGGCTGTTCATTTCCTAGGAACAGCTGTCCAGATCATAAAATTCAGGGGAACCTGGATTTCTCTTCTTGGAAATCCTATCCTGGATACCAATCACCAGATGGTGAACTAAATAGAAGAATAAAGCTATTACCCCCAAAGATGAGGAACTCCCAAGAAGGACAGACCAAGGAAATGTGTTCAGCTTCTCTGTAGGATGAATAACTATATGTTTGTAAGTCACTACATATGCCAATAGGAAGTATAGATTTTAGACCACCTTTCTAGAATCCATTAAATCCATTTAAAGATACTCAGAGATATATTCAAATATCTGTAAGAAAGATTTTATGTTAGGCACCCAACAAATTTTCTGAACACTTAATGGAATCCAGAATTTGTATCTATATTTTCCCTTACTTAAACAGCAAAGTAAAATGCAAGACTGATGTTTTTAGATGGCTTTTCCAGTAAGTAATGCGTGTGTATACATATATCCAAAAAACCAAATCCGATGCCATCAAGCCAATTCCAATTCATAGCGACCCTGTAGGACAGAGTAGAACTGTCCCATAGGGTTCCCAAGGCTGTAATCTTTATGGAAGCAGACTGCCACATATTTCTCCCACAGAGCAGCTGGTGGGTTCAAACCATCAACCTTTTGGTTAGCAGCCAAATGCTTTAACCATTGCGCCACAAGGGCTCCTGTGTACATATATACATATCTACAATACATGGTGATGCTCAGTTTTAACAACCTACATATATGGTACACCGTGGAAAACGCAGTTCCCACAGGCAGCCATGGAAAGGTGATTGAGGGAGCACCAGGCAACCAGCACACTAGCACTGGAATCAGATGCTCTGTCTCCATTGTGGGGCAGGGGTCGGGGGGTGGTCTGCTCTGGCCAGTGAATACTCAGGATGGAGGCTGGTGTGTGGGTGTGTGAGAGTCACAGAGGGCTGGTTGGAAGGTTAGTAGACATGAAGGCACCCCCTCTAGTGACCGCTATTTGTTCTCCTGGGCCATGGTGGCCAGGGGTAATCTGAGAGAGCTGAGGGCAATGTTTGTTTGTTTTACCAAATAGTACAGAATTATTTCAATATTTTAACAATTTGTTTTTATGGCTCATTCCATCTGAAAATCACCTTGCTCTTGCATAGTCGAGCTCTCTGTCAGTTACACACAAACACATATACACATACACACAAACACATACACACATGAGTATTCCACTGGCCAGAGCAGACGAAGACCCACCCCAGAGAATATTATACGGGTTCTATAATGTCTACCTCTATATGCATATTTATATGTATGTATGTGTGCATCACTCACCAAAAACATTGATGATCTTCTCTAAAAAAGTACTCATATCTAATTCTCCTAAGTAAATGGGGACCAGGTATGATTCTGACTTTAGCCCCTAATGCAATTCTCCATTGGCTTCGGAAGAATGAGTGAAAATGCCTAATGGTGCTGGTTATTTACCGATGATCTGTCAGCTACATGCCCACCCTTTGACTCTGTTCCACAATCTGTAGTTGGGAATCTGAAATGATGTTTCCCAGGCCCCATTGCCAGTTGACTTCCTGCCAACAGGAGACACTGGGGGAAAACAGAAAGTGGTAGGAGGGGAAAGGGTGTTGTATTGTGTTCTTCTCTCTCTTCCCCTACAACTCCCCCTCTTCCTCTCCTTCTATACCACCCTCTCTCTGTCTCTCTCTCCTTTGTTCTTCTATCAGTGACTGTAGAAGAACATTCAGGCCCGCCTCCATAGCCCCAGATACCTCTGGAATAGCAGTTCCTCCTCTGCTCTTCTAAGTGGTGGTACCATCACCTCCTATCTTCTGTGCCTCTGGGCACAGGGGTGGTAACTGCTTCCTGAAGTTATTAATTGCTAGTGTACCTCACCTTCCCCTTTTTTGCCTTCCAACCTATTTCCTGTATTAAATCCCCTCTGTCTGAAATACCTAGTGTGGTTTTTGTTTTCCTGACTGATACAACAATCTTTCCAAAACTGGCATAAATTTGCTCTCAAGTCTATTTCCATCAAGGATTAATGAACTGGAACACTTTATACGGCGAATTAGAAAATGGACGGATACCTACCTTTTAGGCTAACTGGTAGGCTTTCCTGCATGCTGCTGTGAGTTTTCATAAAGAGCATTTCCTTCTTTCTTGTTCTTTTCAAAGACTACAGAAGGACTGTGTTTGTGCCTGATGAATCATATCTTCTCCTGTGTCAAGCACGGTAAGCTGTTTTTCATTTGTAGCAGCCTCTCATGCTCAGAGCTTGTATTACCAGAAATTTCTCATAGGCCCTGTAGTAGTTCCTATCTACATGTTTCTTAAAACTGAAAACACAGTCCCGTTGTTGTACCAGCGATACTTTAGCCCTTTTGCTGTTAACGTCAGTGACACTATTTCCATCACATCGAGCATCCTTTACCTATTTTCTGTTGGGTTTTATTCATTTTCTCAGACTGTTTCTGAACACTAATGTATTTTTATTTTGTATATTTGGATTTTTTTTTTCACTGTCTGTTTTTTAAACTGTTAGAAACTGTTCAGTGTAATTGTGTCTGCTTTGGCAATGAGTCAGATGAAAGCCATTGCTTCATAAAGTACTTAAAAATCTTGGTGTCTAATAGCTTAAGTGCAGGCTCTGGAGAAACAAGGAAGCATATACAACACTGCATCCTGTTTGTCTTCTGGTTTCTTTTCACAAAAGACAGTGAATTCTGTGAGTCCTTACATTTTGGGTTCTCAGTTTGGACAGCAGCAGGCAGCCAACAAAACTTGATCAACTAAATACTGTGAGTGAAACTTGAATGTGCCTTATTTGATTAAACCTTGGGATTGTTCCATCTATATAGTCTTTTAAATAAATTTGAGGGACCTAGATACTGCGTGAGTTCATTCATAATGACTTTTCTAAACCAAAATAATCTACTGTCATAAGTGTAAATGGAGGGTGTCATACCTAACACCTATATTGTGTTTACTGTGTGCCAAGGTCTGTTCTAAACACTTTAAATATGTTAACTTACTTAGTCTTCACAGCAGCCTTATGAGGGGAGGATTATTATCATCTCCAATTTGCAGATGAGGAAACTGAGTCACAGAGAGGTTACATAAATTACCCTAGGTCACACTGCTAGTAAGTGACAACCCGTAACCCAAACCAAAAACCAAACCCATTGCCATTGAGTCGATTCCAACTTATAGTGACCCTAAAGGACAGAGTAGAACTGCCCCATAGGGTTTCCAAGGAGTGGCTGGTGGATTCAAACTGCTGACCTTGTGGTTAGCAGACAAGCTCTTAACTACTTTGCCACCAGGGCTCCTAAGTGACAACAGAAGAGTTAAATCCAGGCAGTCTGGTTCCAGGGTTCATGTTCATAACCACTATACCACATTGCCTCTCAAACCTTCCTTTCTGTATCCTTGACTTGGAATATTTGCCAATCACATTCCAGGTTTTCCTGCTAAGGTACCATGTGCCCTGGTGATGTTCTTCTTAGCAGCAACAGTTCCCCCTGCTGATTCACAAAGGCATAGCTACCAATTATAGAGAGGCTACTATGCACCGGCTATTATCCTAGGTGCTTTTACATTCATATAACCTCATCTCATCTTACAGACAATACTAAGACTTAGTTATTGTCATCTTCAGTATACAAGTAACCAAAGGAAAGCTAACTTAAGTTAAGTAACTTGCCCAAGGTCAAACAACTAGTAAGCAGAAGAGGCAGAATGCAGACCCAAGCCCTTAACTCCAAAGCCTGTGCTCTTAACCACTTGACAATATGGGCTCCCCTCTTCTCTTCTCCTTTCCCAGCCAGCTCTAGTGAAACGACTTCTACTAATGCTCCAAAATGACTCCTCTGTTCCTCCAGAAGAGTTGCTTGACAAAGACTCTGACAAATGCCTTCTCTTCAGGCTGACCTTCTGGAACCCAGATTCAGTCCTGGTTCTGACATTCTGTGTAGCATTGAACACATCACTCAACTTCTTCAAGTGTCTACTTCCTTTTCTGTAAAATAGGGATAACACCACCTACATCACAGGATTACTGTGGAGATTAAAAGGTCATGTACATGAATGTGTCAAGTGCTTCAATATTCTTCATTATCATAATAACAATGTGATTTCTAGCATCATCAAAACAATGTGTAATAAAATGGACTGAGTTTTGGGATACTGTGAAGGATAATTATTTTCTTCCATAGCAACTGGATCAATATTTTGGAGGGCCATATCTTGGAGCCCAATGGAGGAACTTTCTAATTAAAGCTTCCTCTCACTTTTGAATTGTCATGTAAAATTCCAGTGCTCATCTACAAAGCTAGTGTTGCTTTCAGATATGGGACTTGTAGAACCACAATCTCAGAAAAGAGCTATACCACAGAAGCATAGTTATTTAAAGAATTCCATGACAACTTTTTTGAGAAAATCTAATGAATGGTAAGAATGAGGGCTACGGTGAGGAAGAAAAATTCTTTATCAGAACTATTCATAGGAAAAGAAATAATAGTGGTTGTGATTAGAAAATCTTGCAATGAATATATCTACTAGAAAATACGTGCCCCAAAATATTCGAATAAAAAAGAATTATTACTTTTCTTCCATCACTAGCTTACTGCAAATATATAGTCCAACTCACAATAAATTATAGTCATATGTATATGCACTTAATTTGCCAAAACACTCATAAAATTTAATGACGTTAACTCCCAGCAGGCAGATTTATTACTATTCATTCAATATGAATGAAGCAAATATTGTTTAACAATAAATATGATGCTTTAGCCATTAGAACATGCCCACTAATTGCAAAATACTCAATTTGCTTAATTCTTTCCTTTATGACCAAATTTGACCAATTCAAGTCCGTTTGCTTTATGATACCCACTAAGCTACACATTCTTTCTGACACTTCTTTTGTTTTGAACCTGCTGTCAATCTTGTGGTATGCCCGGCATATTCAGGCTCTTATCTGGCCAAGGGATGAATCAAAAGTTGGTGCTTTCTGGCACCACTAGGTTTAATTGCTTGGACTTGGGTTAGATGAAAGGCATGAGGCCAGTAAAGCTTGCCAGAAAAAAAAAAAAAGGAAAGAAATACAGTAGATTTAGCACTTACTGCCTTGAGGTCTTCATTAACATGAGTATCATTCATTATAAACTCCGGATAGCCAACTTTTGCCAAAACAGCTCTTGCCTATAAAAAGGAAAAAGAAAAATGATGTTGGAGTTTCAGCACTTAAATCATTAATAATCACAGGATGTCCAACTGCAAACTTCATCCAAAAACTCTATTTACTGAATATCTACTATATGCAAGCCACTGTGAAGAGGGAAAAAAAATTATGTTAGTCCCTGCCCTCAATATACTAAAAATGTAGTAAGTTAAGCAAAATAACCATATCTTATAAAATAAAGAAGTTTTAGTAAAAATAGACAATATTGTTATTCGAGTCCACAGCAATGACCAATGGCTTTGGCTTAATGGAGAAGGTAACCAAGTTGAGTCTTAGAGAATGGTTAGGATTTCAACACGCAGAGCTGAGAGGAAGGACATTCTGGTAGAGGAAACAGCAGGGGCAAAGGCAGACAGACAGGAAGCACAGGGTCTACTTGGGAAATGGCAAGTAGTTTGATGTAGTTGGACTTATAAAGCATGGGAGGCTGGAGAGTAGAAAATAACGCAGGAACACTGGCTTGGGGCCAGATCACAGGGATTCCTGAATGCCACGCTAAAGAGCCGATATTTTATTTTACAGATAAGAGAGCACTAAATATTTTTTACAAGGCAGTAAAAGGAAGATTTAGGAAGCTGTAGGAAGATTATATGTGCAAGATTATGAATGATGGTCAGGATGCCAGAGAGATGAAAGGTAGGGGGTCCAGACTAATTTAAGACAAATCATAACATCATAACCATCCTTTTGATGGGCAAAAGGTCTATTTAGTCCCCATATTTTATAGCATATCAGGAATGGATAAGGGAAAATCACCTTAAGCACATATAAGGAGCCTCCAGAGCAGGGATTGGCAAACTACGGCCCCTGGGCCAAATCCAGGTCCCCTCTTGCCTCTTTTTGTAAATAAAGTTTTATTAGAACACAGCCACACCCATTCATTTACATATTACGTAAGTCTGCTTTTGCACTACAAGGCAGAGTTGAGTAGCTGCCACAGAAACCCTGTGATCCACAAAGTCTAAAATATTTACTATCTGGCCCTTTTTGAAAATGTTTGGCAACCCCTGCTAAGAGAAACGTTACAGTTTCGTGTGGAAATTTGTCTCTCCCCTCTCCCTAGATTCTGGGTTTCACAAAAACAATAGAAGAGCTTACTTAAAGGGTGTGACTCCAGGTGGCAGACATTGTTGGCTCTGCCCTGGTATCCCTTTCTCACCTCTGTGCATCCCTCCCCAGCATCCACAGTCTGGTTTTTTTTTCTTGTTGTTGGTTTTTTTTTTTTTGCCCTCATAGCTTGCCTTTGAGACTGTTTTTGGTGGCCTGCCCTTCGGTTATTAGAGATGAGCTTGCCTGCACTCAAAAACTGCTACAGGTATCCTTTGTTTTACGAAAATTCGCTTTATGCCGCTTCACTTTTATGAAAGACCTACATTAGTACCTGTTTTCGCTAACCAAAAGAAATCTGAAGAGGATTTTCACTTTTATGAAAACAGGTGAAAAGCGGAAATTGCATTCAGCATTTGTTTTGGGGCAAGCTGTTAAAGAGGCAGCACATACCCCAAGCAGCGAGAGTGGCGTCGCCAAGCTCCTTCCCTGGGAACTACACTCAGCATATCAGCATCAAGCCACCATGGCTTTGAACCGTGTCTCTGAGCATCTGTGCTTTATCTCGATTTATTTTGTGCATCTTTTAGCAAGATGTTTCCTAAGGTATCAGAAATGCCTAAGAGAGCTCACAAGGGTTTTATGTGTTATTTGGTATGATTTGGTAGGTTATTTTTTGAGTCTGGGAATGCTCAAAAATTTTTCCCATATGAATTAGTGGTAACTGCTTCTTCGCTTTACGCCATTTCGGCTTACAAAAGGTTTCATAGAAAAGCCCTACTTTTAGACAGTGAAGAAACCTGTAATTCCTGGGGATTTTATCTGCCTTCTACTCCCACCACAGGCAGCCCTTAGTCAATGACTACAGCAGGAGTACAAAACCCTAGCTCCTTTGCCTCAATCAGGACAAGCTCTGGGGTGTAATTTGCACTCCAGAGTTGCCCGCAGGATCAGGCTGAGTTTGAGACTTGCCCCTGAACTCACACCTTTGCTTGGCTCTTGGCCTTCCCTGTCTTGCTTCCTCCATTGCCTTGCCTGTTTCTCTTGGGATCACTTCCTTAATAAATCACTTACACACGAATCTTCATCTCCGGATCTGCTTCCAGGAAACCCAACATAAGACAGCAGGCAACCCCCCTAAAAGTTGATTCTATCATAGCAAAGCAGCAGGGCAAAACCAGTGACCACGCTGCTCTTGGTAACGATTTTTGTCCTTTAGTCCCTTTCAATTTTCCTCACGCAAGAAATAAATGGAATAAGATAGTACATTTTCCTTATCTTCCTTGAGATAATTCAGATATTAAATATCACCTGAAACTTGAAACTCAAGACTCAGAAAGGATTTTACAAGTGCCGTAGGATACAGTCATAATGGGTTTTGCTGTTCCAGAGACTCATATTTAGTGCGGATCAAATTCTGCCTCCAAAACTCTGTGAGTTACACACACTAAAACCTGATGTGACCCAAATAGCAGATAACTAGAGGTTAAAACTCTCTTCCCAGTGGCAAACAATACTTCATATGTCCATATGTTACCTTGTTCTGAGACTATTTTATTGTTTCCCTCATTGTATTTCATTCTTCGCTGTATTTTATCAGCTCACCACAAGTCACATGCGTAATTACAGCAAATACAGAGCTTCAGAGAGTTTCCAAAAAAAAAAGAAAGAAATATACGAGCTGAGTCATCCACAACCATTTTCTGAACTCTGGTCTTTCCAGAGTATGCTGGTGAATTATGCATTATTTTCCAAGCCTCTCTCTCTCTGGGACCCCCACTGCATTATGGAGTTTCACAGAATATATTGCCTTCTGCACTCTGTGTGCAGGTCATAGAAGCCTTTTGTATTACTTATTTAGCATCATCATGTCTTGAAGGGAACCAGAACAGAGATACATAGAATTCCTATTCTTTTTCCAAGGATACATAGATAAAACAAGGTAATAATACTAGTAGCAACATTGCCAACACCAGAATAGAGTGCTCTTCTTCCCAAAATGTGGTGTGTACATACTCCTATATTCAAACTCAAATACTCCTTCTGCCAGAGAGGCTGGTGTCAATTCCACATTGTCCTGCCCCACCCCATTCTACCTTCTTCTCTGAGAAGCTTGAGAACTACATCTCTCAAAATCTCTTGGGGGCATAGCTCCAGGTTAGGCTCTACCAATGAGATGCACTCATAGGAGATTCGAAAGGCAGAAGAGGAAGAGAAGCCATTTTGATCCAGCAATTCCACTCCTAGGAATATATCCTAGAGAAATAAAAGCCGTCACACGTATATACATATGCACACCCATGTTCATTGCAGCATTGTTCACAATAGCAAAAAGATGGAAACAACCTAGATGCCCATCAACCAATGAATGGATAAACAGACTGGTACATACACACAATGGAGTGCTACGGACGATAAAGAACAATGATGAATCTGTGAAGCATCTCCCAACATGGATGAATCTGGAGGGCATCATGCTGAGTGAAATAAGTCAATCACAAAAGAACAAATATTGTATGAGACCACTACTATAACAACTCATGAAAATGTTTACATACAAAAGGAAATAATCTTTGATGGTTACAAGGGAGGGGAGGGGTAGGGATGGAAAAACACTAAATAGACAATAGATAAGTGGTAACTTTGGTGAAGGGTAAGACAGTACACAAAACTGGGGAAGTCAGCACAACTTGTCCAAGGCAAGGTCCTGGAAGCTCCATAGACACATTTAAACTCCCTGAGGGACCGAATTACTGGGCTGAGGGCTGTGGGGACCATGGTCTCAGGGAACATCTAGCTCAATTGGCATAACATAGTTTATAAATAAAATGTTCTACATTCTACTTTGGTGAATAGCATCTGGGGTCTTAAAAGCTCGTGAGCAGCCATCTAAGATACTCTACTGGTCTCACCCCATTGGGAACAAAGGAGAATGAAGAAAACCAAGGACACAAGGTAAATATTAGTCCAAAGGACTAATGGACCACAACTACCACAGCCTCCACCAGACTGAGTCCAGCACAACTGGATGATGCCCAGCTACCACCACTGACTGCTCTGACAGGGATCACAATAGAAGGTCCCGGACAGAGCTGGAGAAAAATGTAGAAGAAAATTCTAACTCACAAAAAAGAGACCAGACTTACTGGCCTGACAGAGACTGGAGAAACCACGAGAGTATGGCCCCCGGACACCCTTTTAACTCGGAACTGAAGTCACTCCTGTTGACCCTTCAGCCAAATATTAGACAGGCCCATAAAACAAAATGAGACTAAAGGGGCACACCAGCCCAGGGGCAAGGACTAGAAGGCAGGAGAGGACAGGAAAGCTGGTAATAGGGAACCCAAGGTCGAGAAGGGAGAGTGTTGATATGTCATGGGGTTGGTAACCAATGTCACAAAACAATATGTGTACTAATTGTTTAATGAGAAGCTAGTTCTGTAAACCTTCGTCTAAAGTACAATAATTTCAAAAAAGGTAAAAATAAATTTTAAAAAAGGAGAAGCCATTTATTCGTTACTGGTAGCTACAGGCAGACACATGGCATGTGCAGACAGCAGATACAGGGCTTTGTGAGCAGCTTCCAGGTATCCTCCTGAGAGTACCTCTTCATTGTGCAAGCAGTGGAGATAGCTGGTAGCCTCTGCCCTTCACTCCCCAGCCCTCCCAATGGTTGTATAAGCCTCCAATTCCCTGTATTAAACCTCTTCCTGCTTGCCATATTTAGAAGGGCGTTGGTTCTCCTGAATGAACCCTAACTTATACACCCATTTAAGGCAAATAATGATCACATCACTTTTTAACTTTTTCAGAATGGAAGAAGTGAGGCACCAAGTAGCTTGATGGCTTGTTGAAGGACAAAGTATTAGTGAGGCAGGCCTGACATCAATTACCCCAGTAGTTACAGGGGCAA